CGCTTCCAATGTTATGATCATCCAAGTGTTGTTGGAGCTTTCTATGGATGATAGTTGGTAGATCATGTATTAGAAAGGGGTCTAGATCCCATAGAGCCCCCATATACTCCACCAGCGTGTTGGTGAGTAACTCAAGATAGCACAACCTGTGTGCTCTTTCCATATTAGATTAGCCTTAGGGCTATGGCTGAATAAGCTAACCCAAGCTCTCATAAAATCATCAATCAGAATAGGTGTTGTATTTCCCAGTTCGAATCAATAGCCATTGCCTCACCTAGGTGTGTTATCCCATCAAATATGACTGATTGAGCCCTGCCAGCAATCTCCTCTTTTTTAATGGAATGCCTTGAGAGAATATGAAGGGAACAATATCTGGCATATGCCTTCTGTCTGTCAAACGAAACCGATTCTCCTCCACCAAATCTCTAAGGTTATCTATCTTGTTCAGTGGGATAGTAGCCCATAGGAAAGCTGTTGCAACTTCACCTGTATACCTGCTGATCCTCAGGCAATATCTCCCCCACAGGATGTGTATTTTGATAAGAAACCTTTAAAGCTTCAGCGATGTTATGTTCAGTCTTCTCCTTCGAGCCTAAACGTTTATTTCCAACCGCATCTTTAGCTCATTTGATGTGGCTTTCAATCACGCAGCTTACAAGAGATAACTCCTCGCGGCACGCACGGCTTGTTCGAAACTGTAAGGTATTCCTCTGGATGCTCCTGTACGCGCTGAGTGGGGTGACAGATTTCTACGGCGGCCCAGTAGTGGACTTATTGAGCCTCCCGTTTTTGCCGCTTCCAGTTTCCAGCTTCACGTTTTGCGTAATTCTAGCTTTCAGCCTCCCATTTTTGGCTTTTGTAGTTTCCAACTTCCAGGTTTGCAAACTTCTAGCTTTCAGCCTCCTGCTTCTAGCTTCCAGCTTTCTGTTTTTCTAGCTTCCAGCTCCTCATTCGAATTTCCAGTCTCCAGTTCCTACTTCCCGTTGACCTAGCTTCCAGTCCTCTGCTCGGCACTGGCGTAAGAACTGTTTGACCTCCGCTGCCCACCACAAAAAATAATCGCAGTGATCACCTTCCCCGGTCGCCGCTGTAGAAAATTGGTCGCGGTGAGAGAGAGATATATCGCCACAAAAAGAGAATCATCAACACGATTAGCCCCGAAAACGATCCATTGCTTCAACTATAGGTTTACGGGGAAATTCGCTTTGACACAAACGGCATGCCATATCCTCTTCTTTAACCAGGAGGGCACGCACTATTCAGGTGGGAGACTTGAAAGGTCAACTTTACTAGAGGGCGCCTGTAGCCAATACAGTACATTGAACGGTCCCTTTGTTCTACCCCTAAGGTTTCGAGTAAGTTTACCTTTGAACTCTCTCACCTGGTATCGTAGCAATTGGAAAGTTACGTGCCGCATAACTGGTTATCGCCCTAAATTGGTTAGGATAAACAGTCGTAGCCGTAGATATTCGTCACCACGAAAGAAAAATGTTCGCTACGAAGGTAGAATCGTCACTACGAAAGGAGAATGGTCCACCGAAAATCGATTCGTCCCCCAGAAAACGATTCGTCGCCATGACTACAGAGCGTCATCAAGCTAGCTAGGGCTAGGGCCACCTTAAGCAGGACTGATTCCTGGGTGCATCTGGAGAATGGAGCCATAGGCTGTCAACTCAAAACCGTGGAGCTGGTATAGAGGGTTGGCATCTCCTTAATTGTCAATTGCTTAAATTACCACTCTTAATGCTTAGCAAAAATATAGGGCTTGTGTGTAGGTAAAACGTCACAAGCAAGCAGTGTCAGCATCGCTCATCCAATGAGCTGCTGCATCACATGGACTACGTCATTTCTGTCTTTTCTCCTTACCATCCCAAAATTAACCTTTTTGTTTTTATCTGCTGATTCTCATGCGTGCATGTCCTTCCAAGGCAATGACAACACTCCTCTGCCACAGGTTGTAGTGAATTGCGCATGCTCTGTTATCTGTTCCTCTTAAAGGCTATGAATTAATAAGTTCACTGACAACAGTGGTGAATATGGCACACTATCCAAATTTACAGAGATGTCTATCTGGTGGCAACATGCAGCAGTTGGTACAGTGTGCTGCATCTTGTATACAGCCTGGAATGCAATAACCGCCAGAATGGGTGCATGCAAATGCCACTTGCTGCCTTTAAACAGCACGACTCTTTTCTCCACAGAAATCACACGAAATGCAACCAGATTGCACAGCAGTAGACGATCTTTCGGCGTTCTCTTTTTGGATCAAAGCAATCTGGACGACCTAAAATCTGAGCTACCACACTACTTACCAACAGCAGAGGATACAAGCCAAGCCTACGACCCTATGGAGTTTTGGAAACCCCAAGAACTCTCCCTGTGTTCTTTGGCTAAAGCTGCACGAAAGGTGCTGTTCGTACAACCCTCATCTGCAGCCAGTGAGCGTGTGTTCTCTCTACGTAATAAATATTTTTAGCAAAACAGTGCTCTTCAAAACAACCGTCTAACAGGTATTGTTTTGTGAAAAATAATGCGGTTGGATGGCAAAAATATTTCAATAAACCAAACGGTGCAATTCTGTGTAATGTAATTCAGGCCTAGCAAAAAAGGACCACTCTTTCAAAATGTGGTAAAATCTCTAAAACTTTTCTAGCCGACTTATGCCTGGTTTTCGGGCCGTCACTATTCACTAGGTTCGACCACCGGACTGGAACACTGGACTAGACTACTGGACTCCCGAATAAAGCAAATGTACAGTGATCAACAGTTGCGCATCGCGCAACCTCCGTTCTCTGTGCCACCGCTCACGAATGGAGCCGTGTGAGATTCACCACCGCCTGGCACTATAAGTGGCAAGCGGGAGCGAACATCACATCGTGCTGCTGCACACACGTCAGGATTATGCGCTTCTTTTTATCCGAAATGATTTTTACACGCTGCCTGTTATGTCGATCCATGTGAATCCAACCAGCGAGTAGTCTGGTCACCAGACCATTCCTAACAATGTGCAACAACGACTGCTTTTCTTCAAAAATTACTTCTTCACTTCACAAACTTTATAACGGTAACACGCATGGAGATGAAACTTGTAACGCGTGCATTTTACATTGTTTCCATGACAACTGCATATAACTAACAGATTCAGGCACTTTTCTTCAAAATTACTTCTTCACTTCTTAATGAAACTTTTACACATGCGTACAACAACAAATAGCCTCAGGCACTTTTCTTTAAAATTACTTATTCACTCTTCAAACTTGCAAATGGTACCACGAATTGAGATGAATCTTGGTACATGTGCGTATTATATCATTTCATGACGACTACACACCAACAAACAACCTCAGCAACATTTCTATAAAGTTACCTCTTTACTCCGCAAACTACTTGTGCCAGGAGATACTTGGTACATGTGGTAATACATCATGGCAATCACCTTAAACGGCCTCATGCAGGCAAATTTTTTCTAAAATGACTTCTTCGTTCTAAATCTATGCTACAACACTATCTCTCATTGAGATAAAATTTAGGAGACATGTGTAGTTTAGTTTATTATACTGGGGGCTTGCCCACTTTAAAAGAGATATACGCAGTACTTTAAATGAGAGGAGAAAATTAAATACACACAAAATCCTGCGAAAGAGGCATATAGGGATGGTATAAAAAGAAAGCGAGACAAGATAGGGATGGGATGCATGAAGTACAGTTTAGAAACAGATTCTGAGCACGCTAACAACTTTGAACCCATCACACAATCACTATATTATTGCCTAGGTGAAGCCATTCACTATTGTGTTTTTAAGCAGGACCTATAGCTTTAAAATACAAGATAAAACTATGAACAGTGTGAAAGTGTCATTAACCCTCGGCGCGCAAGCGCAGCGAGGGTTAAGGTAGTTGGGTCTGTCTGTCTGTCTGTTGCTCTTCATCTCACTTCTCGAGTGTTCGTTCGTCTCACAAAGGATACCACCTACTGCACGGGCAATGAAGGTCAGAAATTTGGAACTGATTTCTCTGAAAACGCTCTGTTCCAAAGCTAGAGAGCGAAAAAGCCAATGGTCACAACAGTTTACTACGGCATGATCGATCCGCGTGCTCTGCCTACCTCGGAGGCACCAGAAGATGCAACGCAGGGCGTATGTCGCCTCTCGCATGCTATCTAGTAGTGTATTTAGCCCACGTCAGACTCTGCGCGAGCTGGCAAGAGACCACGAGTAACATAGCGGTACAGGGCATGCGTTTACTTACGCATGCGCGTCACAATGCGCAGAGGGTTTACACTTCAGTGCTTTTCATTCACTGAGTAGCTAACCACCACCGTTACAAGAGTTCAAGAGTGGCACACAAGGCAACAATATATTGTGTGATGGGTTCAGTAAACTGTGCTTCATGCATCCCATATCTTGTTCTTTCCTACGTATATGGCTCTTTTTAAAAATTCACATGATTGTTTTTATTACTCTCTCTCCCCACGTGCAGCCCAACCTGGCCTGCAAGGACTGGAGAGAGGGTTTGCTAGCAAGACTACTACTACCACTGATTCAATATGGAAAGCACTAAAGTACAAACCCTCGGCGAACTGCGCATGCGCGGTGCCTTCAAGATGCACAGAGCAAGCGGACCTCTCTCTCCACGACCGGGTCCGCTTGCTCTGTGCATCTTGAAGGCACAAGAAGTACGTAACAACGAAGGGTGTTTATCGACTCCTGCATGCTATCTACTACTGTAGCTAGTCCGTGTCAGACTCTCCCTGAGCTACTATCGGGGGACCACAAGTAAACACAAAATAAAAGTCCCAGCCCAGCAATTAGTGGTACCGCGCATGCGCAGTTCGCCAAGGGTTTGCACTAAGGTAGACTAAGGTAGTATATAAACAAATCTGCTCACACTTGCCCATGTACTTTTGAAGGAGTTTAATGTAATGAAAGAGGCATTCCTTTTTTCCTGACAGATATAAAACACGTCTCAGGTATACTCTTGTTTTCTATCTGACCGCGTACCTTATGCCATTTGGGTGCACTATCCTTAGAAACTCATGATCCAAGGAATGTTTCCCACCATGATAACACTGAGTGCAGAGATTAGTATCCGGACATGTTACACACGTCCATCGCATTCCAGTGATGTCACTAATTCTACACTCATAGCATTTGATACCGAAGTGTTTACACCCTGCAAAGGAGAAAGTGGAGAGTCATCATGCTATCACTTCCGCACATTCTCTAGCAGGAACAATTGTTCTTGCCTACGTAGAATAGTTTCATGCTACTTTTAATTTTGCTTTACATTTTTATGGCAATACTATTTCTATTATCACTAAGTACGGTACTACTTAGTACATAGGGATGGGCATGGTACCTAGCATCATAGGCTATGATAGGGAATCTTCTTCTTCTTCTTCTTCAGATTAAACACCCACAACTCAAAAACGAAAAAACACACATACATAGTAATGAAATTTTGTAAGAATGAAGATATCCGTCACACGAAGAGTCTGGTCATGCTTATGTATTTGTAAACAACAACAAATAGCCTAAGGCAATACATTATAATGGGATCACATGCGCCAGTATAACTCACAAATGGTAAGAGCTATGTGAACGAAACTTTGTAGACAATCACCAACATTAAAATCACCAACAATACATGTTTACAAATAGACTCAGGCACTTTTCTTAAAAAATACTTCTTCACTCCTCAAACTTTCCAATGGTAGCACGCATAGAGATGAAACTAGGTACGTATGCCTATTATATCATTTCCATGACAATTACATGTTTCCATGACGACCACATATTGTTTGAAAAGCCTCAGGCAATTTTTTTAAAAACTACTTCTTCACTCCTAAAACCTGCTAACTGTAGCTCGCATGGAAGTGAACTTGGTGCGCATGTGTATTACATTGTTTCCAAGCTTTTTAAAAAATCACTTCTTTACTCAAACTTGCTAACTGTAGCACGCATGGAGATGAAACTTGGTGCGCATGTGTTTTCTTTCTTTTTATACCATCCCTATATGCCTCTTCGCAGGATTGTTAATTTGGTTCTTCATATTCACAGTCCTTCTGTCATTTTAATACTATCTATGTGTGCTCCTACTATTGTGCATCAGCTCACGCATGTAAAGCTAGTCCCTTCTTGTGTTTGTGTGAAGCCATGTATAGTGTGTTTAAAAACACCCTCGGTGCGCCTGCAAGTGATTGCAAACACTAGTCTAGCAAGGCCGTTCCGTGGAAACACGCTGTGGATCTATGGCCCTCAGTTACCTACATAAAGTGCAGCAGAGGGCTTTGGGGATCCTCACATCCATAATTATCATGGCCAGACTAGAGCAAGTCTTGAAGGGGATTAAAACCGCCTTTTTCGATGTGTGTGTTAAGGCCACATGGAAGTCACACCTGAGAGGCTGCAGCTCCAGGGATGACCTGGATCCCCCCTGCCGATCCTGGCTTTTCCTACCACAGTCACGTTAGTCTGGGCCTCACTGCCTGAGCTCTCAGTCAAGCACATAACGTCTCCACACTAGACCTGTATTACCGCCCATAAACACTGACCTTTATCTTGCGCATTCCTAGTGCATGCAAAAAATATTTTGCAAGATGTTAACTAGCTACCCACGTGGTCTGTCCAGCTGCTCATGCCCACCACCATAGGCTTATTCTCAGCCACGGCATACGCGCACGGGGGGCCATGAGTACACACATGCGTTATCCCTTGGAATATTCCTGTCCCCAACGCCATGTGATGCTTATTCTTGGACTACAGGCTATAAGGCGGCCTATTAGTGATACAAGCCAAAAGGCGATTTTCCTGAAATGACTGCATTTGAGAGATATGCCGTGAAAACAAGCGAAAAACCCAATTTGCATAATCACACTGGGCTAAGAGCGTGTACTAGCCCGTGTCAGACTCTTCACGAGCTACTAGGATGGGGAGACCACGAACAGAGCTGCAACCCGTTACGTAATCTATGACGCATGTCCAACTCCTCTGGACCATGAGTAAACATACGCAGACTCTCGGCCAAACCCATCAATTAGCGGTACCAAGCACGCGCAGTGCGCTGAGGGTTTGCACTTTTGTGCTTTTCATTAAGGTAGGTTGTGAAGTCCCCAGAAGCACTTCTCCATTCTCATATTTTCTTTCTTTCTTCATGTAAGCGTGAGCTGTTCAGCTTACATGTGGTCAACCAAGCAAAGCTATTGTGGCATTTAACTTTAGCAGTCACGAATGCAGTATTCTCATACATAATTTCAAACATGGTAAAACTCATTAAAATTATTATCACCAATGTGCAAACCAACGGACAAGAAACATCGAACCCAAACGTATGTGTGGTACCATTCATAGATCGCCCGTGTTTGCTCATAGGTGTACTGCTCTCTGTAGTAGTTCGCAGATCTGACAAAGGCTAGCTACATTAGTAAATAGAATGCGTACTCGATACACGCCATCCATTGTGCTTTGTGCAAGCGCATCAGTTAGAAGTAATGATTTCTTTGCTCTTTCGCCAGTTTCCACATTTGGGGGAGAGACTCTACTCAACACATTTCAAATAACAACACGTTTCTTTTTGAGAACAGTTCTTCCGTGTAATTGTCGTTTCAGGAAAATGTCTTTCTATTATCATGGCAACAAACCGTTGGTATAGCTTATGGGCAACCTCATAGCCTGTAGTGCCAGAAGAGTGGTAACAGAAAGAAGAAACACAGACAAAGTACTGTAATTACCATAACCTCTATGCATGCATACACTCAGTTTGGAGTTGGGGGTCTTTTGGTGGTTTAATTACACCAGTCTGCTCCTTCATACTGAGTGAGAGTATGGTGTGCCATACCACAGTGGTTTAGGTTTGCCTTCGTTGTATCACTAAGTACGGTAGTACTTAGTATAATGGATTGACATGGTACCTAGCATCATAGATGTATGGCGCTATGACAGGGAGTTTTGTTCATCTTCTTCTTCTTCTTCTCCTTCTTCTTCGACCAGCGTAACTCAAAAACCGAAAGAGATAAAGCCATGAAATTTTGTAGGAATGTGCGTATCGATAACCACATGTGCAACGTCATACTTTTTTGTCTGTAAACAAGTAAATGTGCCCCAGGCAATACATTATAATCGACATACATGTGTTAGTGTAATTCACATTAAAAGCACGGAAGTACTTAGTATACAAGTAAATAAAAAATCCGGCAGATTAAAAAAAGAGTGCATATAGGGATCGTATAAAAAGAAAGGGAGACAAGATAGGGATGGTGTTTGTGGAAGCACAGAGATGCTAGCGACGAGTTAGGACTCCCACAGGTCATTACAACAGCCCTATATCGTCGTACGGTGGGAGTACCTAGAATCATAGATGTATGGGGCTATGATAGGGAAAGTTTTCAATCTTCGTAGGGTGGGAGTGGGAGTGATGAGAGAGTCTGTAGAATATTGCTATAGGTAATGAATTACTTACTAATTACTTTTGATACATTTGTCATTCTACATTTCCATGGAGTGCGCATTTTGGTGGAAGTGTAATCAGCTTACCATAACATAGGATATACATGTATATACACATGGTAACATGGAAAAATTGTGTAACGCAAAATTCAAGTATACAAGGTTGGCTGATATTCACGAGGAAGTAGTAAAGCACCGATACGACGATATAGGGCTGTTGTAATGACCTGTGGGAGTCATAACTCCTCGCTAGCATCTCTGTGCTTCCACAAACACAATCCCTATCTTGTCTCCCTTTCTTTTTATACGATCCCTATATGCACTCTTTTTTTAATCCGCTAGCCGATTTGTTGTTGTGGTTGTCATGGAAACGATGTATTATGCATGTGTACCAAGTTTCACCTTCATGCATGCTACGGTTAACAAGTTTGAGGAGTGAAGAAGTAGTTTTAAAGAAAATTGCCTGAGGCTTTGTCAAACAATATGCGGTCGTCATGGAAACATGTAACCGTTGCAGAAATGATATAATAGGCATACGCACAAAGTTTCATCTCTATGTGTGCTACCATTGGAAAGTTGGAGAAATGAAGAAGTAAATTTAAAGAAAAGTGCCTGAGGCTATTTGTTATTTAAAAACATGTCTTGTTGTGATTTTAATGATGTTGGCTATTGCACGTATACAAACTTTCGTTCTCATAGCTCTTACCAAGTGTGAGTTACACTGACACATGCAGTATGCCCATTATAATGTACTGCCTTGGGCAATTTTGTTGTTACCACTAAGTACGGTAGTACTTAGTACATAGGAATGACACAGGTTGTCCTGCATTATGCCCATACATTTGAGATTTTCATGTTTCACTTTCAGTTTCAATCAGATCCAACTTTTGACACATCAGACTAATCCGTATAGTCACAAAGAGCATTTATGGCTTAAATCACATAATCGGCACTTGATTTATTCAAAAAAGTCACTTCAATTTTCTTCTTCTTCTCGTTGTTGTTATTGTTCAGTTTAGACAAGTGTATCTCAAAAACCAGGTAAGACATGGAGATGAAACTTTGCACAAAGATTGGAATCCGTGACCCGGCGTGAAAGAGCATTTTAATTTGTGTGTAAACAATGTTGTTTACATGTACACAACAACAACAACAAAAATATCCCCAGGCCATACATTATGATATAGACCAATAGTGTGCTAACTACGTAGAGCAAGTATATACCCACACTGATAAAACTTTGTACACACATGCAACCCATCATTAGTATCAAAATGCAAACATTACAAGTTTGTAAACAACAACAAACAGCCTCAGGCAATAAAAACTTGTAAAATGTGTTTGTGCCTATAACTAGCTTATGGTGGGTCCTCTAACAATGAAACTTGGTACACTGATGTACCATGCTGAGAGTTCATCGAAACAGAAATTACACGTTTGTAAACAACAACAAACAGCCTCAGGCAATAAATATATGTAAATGGTGTTTGTGCCTATGAATTACTTGTGGTTGGTCCTCTAGCAACGAAACTTGGTACACTGATTCACCATGATAAGAGTTGATCAAAACAGAAATTACAATGTTGTAAACAACAACAAACAACCTCAGGCAAAAATGATTTTTAAATGGTGTCAGTGCCTATAACTTGCTTATGATGGGTCCTCTCACAATGAAACTTGGCAACTGCAAATTATACATCACTCCCTCAACTCGACCCGGCACTACTGTTCCACCCTCACTTTCCAATCGGGCTTAACGTCCCCAACAACTTACCGTACCAACCTACACCCACCCCATCGCTCGTGAACACGAATAGAGACAACTCTAACACAAAGCGCTCTTAAAAAGTGTGTAATATAGGGAATGCATACCCCAACGCAAAGGACCACCAACGCCACCGGGCATCGACCCTCCCCTCACACGTGATCCCACGCTCATTCACACGGCGATGACTGCCCCTACCCAAAAAGCGATAACTTTCTTGAAACTGACATCGCTTGCCCTCGCTCCTTACAAACCTCTCCCCCTCCCCCCAAGCCCCGATACAAGCCCCCTTCTCGTGCTCCACCAAGGTACATACTGTGAAATGCGAGGACAAGTGAGAATTGCGAGACACATGGGTGAAAGAATTCATATGTTAAGAAACCCAGCATCGTAAACTGTTAGTGTTGAGCCCAAATTAGAACTCCTTGGAGTTTTCACACAATCACTCCCCAAAGCAACTGACAAAAAAAAACCCGACCAGAATGGGGGTTGTACTTGGGGTTTCGAATGTAACTTATGAAATAAAATCATAGCTGTGCATATACAAGAGGGAGCACCAACCGATTCGTGATTGATGGCAGCAGCAATACACCAGTAGTCGGCGTTCGCTCGTACGCGCTGCGAGCCATAGACGCACGGAATGGTCGTCTGCACTACTGCCGATGATAGTGGGCCCTGCGTGTCATTGTACACATCTGCACGAGTCCTTGTAGCTGTCACACCGATCGTGTCAGCATTCACGTTCACTCTTATTTGTCGGATGAGCCCGCACGGAGTGTTTTCCAGTTCCGGCACGCGCGGACACTATATCAGACATGAGTTAACTGGCGGGCGAGAGCACGACCGGTCTGGGCTTCAGGCCGCGCTTCATACGCTGCCTCAAGCCCTACGCCGGACTGACGGCTCTGCCTCCTGTGCATCCTTCTCTTTTGTCCTAGCTTCCCACAATCAGAGTGCCCAGGTCGTCCCATAAACAAAACAAAACCGTTCCCCGCATCGAGGCCTCTATCCACACTTTTTAATCTCTGACAGAATTTGCATTCATTTGCTTCATCTCGCACTGTTCTCTTACACCGCAAGGATACTGACCCTCGACTACTGTACTTGGACTACGCATCAGATCCACGGTACTCCAGACCCCCTACCCCCCTGTTAATGCCTGGTACCGCACGGCTGACGTCCCCCGAAGGGAAAAGAGCCTTGTTAATTGCTCTATCGCGCACAACAGCCGTGTACACGGGTGCGAGCTTCTGAATATCTCGGCCGGCTACCCAGTTCCAGACTATTGCGTCATATAAATGGATCCTTCGACGAAACTGATCTCTCAGCCAGTCGCAGCGCAGAATTCCTGGCGTACCTACATCCGACCATACGGATCATTCGGCACGAGCCTCCGCGCGTGCCGCACATCGTTACATTTCGCCCCCCACCGACTAGCCATCTGCACGCCATCATCTTTTGGAGTCTCGTTCAGCCGTTGACTCTCTCTGACGCTCTAGATTCGCGGTACACAATTCGGGCATCTTAACTCTTGGCGACTGGCCTAGGGGCACACACATCTCCTTGTCCTGACACGTTTAGCGTCGTCGGACTCGGGGCCTTGTAAAATGCTAGCGCAGGTCGCCGTTCTGAGCGCCATACTCTGGAAGATTATTGTATCGCAGCAACTCATCGTGGGTCGTCCATGCACTCTCAACTCATACATACGTACGCTCTCCGTGTATGTCCCACAAACATTTAAACGACATACCACACTTGTGACTTCGTGAATTGGTCGAACCGCTCTTCCGGTTACTCATTGTGGGCACACTTTCACACTAGGGATATTTCGCACACATCGTGTCGCAGTTTTCTCCACAGAACGGACCTTCTCTTATTCGGGTATAAGAATAGTAAAACAGGACACATACAGGGACTAACCAGAGCAGGTGTAATAACTGGGCTCCATACTTCAACACACTGACATCGCCTTCTCGTGTAACGTTTTCCTAAAAAAAA